GGCTTGCTGCCGGATCCTGTACTGCAGGTGTGTGATTTGCCTGAGACTTCACAGGCCGTCTGTGATTGATTAGGTAACTCGCCAGGTTTGAGACTGCTTCACTGGTGCTTCCCAGATGATATTTGTGTCATGGTATCACCTATACACCACTTGTGTTTGCCATGAATGTAATGTAATTTCTATCTTTGGATATACAAACAATAAATAACTGAAATCCAACAAAATCCATCCTTCATTTTCCAAGTATGGGAAGGAGATGTGACTTAATGGGGACCACAAACACCAGCAGAGAGAGATGGAGGCAGAGGAAGCGTGGGAGGGGGTCAGTGCTTACTATCATCTCTATGAAATGAGACCTCCCCTTCAAGCAGCTCTATATCTTCCCATTGTGAACTAAGGGGATTTTTTTCCCCTTCTGTGTTAGACTCCCATTGTAGACCAACCTTTTTGCTGATCAACTCATGCTGCTATTGAGCCAGGGCTGGGTTCTCACTGTGTGCATTTGGAACCCATTAGATGTGTGACCATCTTATCAAATCGACCCTTGCATGCTTCCTGAACACCTCCTTAGACCAACACACAGGCACTGCCCGCTTTTGTCATGTTTAAAGATTTTGTGCCTCTATGCTCTTACATGCTTTTTATAGATTCACTGGGAACTCTAAAGTGGCGACTTGTAGCTCAGTGTGATTTACCCCGTTGTTTTCTGCTGTGCAAAACTGTTTGTCAGTGGAGCTGCGATTTCAGGAGGATGTTTGCACAGAAATATAATGAGGCTTGGCTGGTCCTCGGGAGCAGGAGTGATTTTGAATGGCTGCTGACCTCGCGGGGAATCTGGGCTGCGCTCAGACAGAAACCACTGAGCTGGAAACAAAAACCTGGAGAAACTAAAGCAGGCTCTCCATCTTCTGCTCCAAGTTAGTAAAGAGATAGTTTATCCAAAAGTCAGCAACAAATGGTAGAAGATACATTCATAGATTTCCTTTTTTAAATTATTTTTAACAGTTATACCACTTTTTAAAATGGGTCTGCACTTTTTGGTGTTTGTGTAAACTGTTCACTTGCAAATGAGCTGGCCTTCTCTTCAGGTCTGTTCTGATGGCTAGCTTTGAGTTTGTTCTTTCTCCTGGGTGTGGGACTAGTGGGTTAGACCCCTGCATAAGCTCTGCAAAATAAAGGATACTTTTACACTCTTGGAACTACAGAGAAAAAGATTTATTTGTTTTGTAGTCAGGTTTATTAGCTCCCATTCTGTTTAAAGCTGTATAGTGATTACTTTCTGATTTCCACTGTTCCACAATACATACAATTACAGGACAAATATATGCAGGAGTTGTTCTTGTATAAGAAGCACAACAAAAACAGTCCAATAACACTTTTTCTGGCCTTTTTTAGTAGTTAGCTGTCTTATGGTAATAAATCATATTTTTCATTATGAGGATACAAAGGCTGTGGGTTACAGAATTGTTCCTCACAGGATTGCTCTGCCCTCTTTCCAACATCTTCTCTCTTGAAAATGAAGGGTTTGCTTATACTTAAAAGAAAAAAAAAAAAAAAAAAAAAAAAAAAGAGAAGTTGCCTTTGGCCAGAGATCAATCATGGAAAATTTCAGCCCCATCAGAGAATGTTTTGGAAACATATGAGGCTGTAAGCAGATGATCTGATCCTGATGCCACTTAGCTCACAGCTGTTTGACTCCTGCCATAACAGCAGCGACTGCCGTGGATTTAGCCATGATTTGCCACCGTAAGCTGGGATTGAGAAGGGGTAGTGGGTTATCACACATCTGCTCAGTAGCCTTGGCACTGGCAGTTGCTAATGGTGAAAGAGACAGTGAAAGATGCTGTTCCAGTCCTTGCCCTCCTAAGCAGTGGTAGTGAATGGAACTATTCATATGCTTAAGGCTGCAAGAACCTGGACCCACCTAGCTGTGCTATAAATAGTGAACTGCAAACCTCGATAGATAAAGTGCTTTTAATTCTGGTGGAAATCCTAACTTTCAGGTGCTTATCTTGACTGGGTGTATTTGGCATGTCAGATGCATTTCGGTTTGGTATTTTAGCACTTCAGGCACTGGGCTGAATTGCTACAAAGGGCAAATATCAATTAAAATAATATTTAGGTGCTCTGCCTAAATTCTCCATCCCTTCTTATATACATAAAGTTTTTGTAAGGATTAAAGGCTCTCACAGAAGCTGGTATTTGGAGTATTCTGATCATTGGGACAAATGCAACCAGCTCACCAACACTCCTAAGACTGCTTCAGTTTTGGGCTGTCCAGTGGGTTTGTGGGTGCCTGCTGCTGGCATCAGGGGTAGCAGTGCCTTGCACCTCTCTGCAGTTTTCTTTCCTGTCCAAAAGAACCTGGAGAGACATTCTGCAAGGAGAGAGGAGCAATTGCCTCATCACACTGTCATGATCTTATCCTCTGTAAGTGAAGAAAATAAGATAAATGGCTTGGTGAAGCTGATTTTTTTTAATAATCATGTGTCCCTTTCAACCTCGAACAATACAGCTGTACTAATTTCAAATTACTTGGGTTACAGCATTGAAAATGACATCTCTCTCTGTGTATCTACTTCTCATGAGCGTTTCTGAGGAAAAGCGGGTCCTTAATCTTCCTGCTCCAACACTTACTTTGAAGTACAGAAATTCAGGAACTGGTCTTCTAAGACAAGCTAGCACATCTTTGTACTGGAGCTGTTGCTTGTCCTACTCTTCTGTGGGCATTCCTAGAGCTGGGAGTAGAACATTGAGTGAGACACAACTTTGTCTTACCTACTAAAACTGTTTGTATGCCTCAGTTTTTATAGGTGCAGTATCTAGTAAAGATATCCAGCATAATCTGTCCCTCTTCTTAGTCAAGCTGTGATGTACGATACTTTCATGTTACTTGAACTACAAAATTAAATTCCAGTCTGATATTTCTTATACGCTGAAAAGGACACCCTGTCAACAACTCTGGTGCACTTGTGCTGCAATTTGGGCAGATACTGGCTCCACCTGTTGTTTCATTTTCCCCATTAGTTATCTGGATGCCAGCACTCTCAAAGGCACCTCCTTCTGTTATAAATAAAACTTGAAATGAAAGACTATTGTGTTACTGCAGAACATACCCAATTCATACCACTCTAGGTCTCGGGGAGACAAATCAGACAGCTTCACGGGTGTCTTCCAACCCCTTGAAGATGTTACTTTTATCATGCAATTAGATGTGTCTGAAAATGCTTGCTAAAAACATGGCAAAAAAGTTGCTGGTTACTAAGGAATCAGGACTACCTACCTATTGTCCCTAGTCACAGGGTATACTCAGTATTCCTTCAAAAACTATCCACCTGACAGGAGACATTTGTTTACTTTATTATTGATTTTGCTGATGTACTACTTGAAGCAGATTTCTGATCTGATTTTAGATCATCAAAATAAACATCAATGTCAACAGAAGAAATGCAGTCCATGATGAAAATGAAAATGTAGAATTTCTAAAGATTTTGTAGCTGATAAAGGTTGTCCAAAAGCACTAATCATCTTAAATTCTTAAATCGTTAGCAATGAATCCCCTAGCCTTGGCAGAACTGTCAGTACTCTGCTAGTTGTGAAAAGCTACACGTTACTACTTGTTGCTGATGAATTAGATCTTCAGAATTGCTGTACAGATGTTGTACGTAACAAACGTTTAGTGACATGTCAAAGGAGGCCTTTTTTTCTGGTTCTTTTCCTGTAAAATCCTTTCAAAGAGTCATCTCTGGATCTTGCAGACTATTGATCCTGGGGAGTCCCAGGGAAATGACTGCATTCCCAGGTCTGGGTTTGGAGCATATGCAGATTCACTGGAGTCAAGTAGTAGCACTTCTTTTCAATGACATCCTGGGGCCAGGACTTCCATCCATTAATTATGTGAAAGAGGACCTCCTTTAGTCAAACCTGCCAATTTTTAATGTAATTGAATGTCACCTTATCCTCATATGACTAGGGAAGAAAAGCAGAAGCTCTTGCTCAACATCCATTTGTTTTATGCCCTTACATATTTTTTGTGCCACCTGGGGCTTTGTGTGTCCGATAAAAGCAGGGAAAGGCTGTATTTACCAGAATTTGAGCTAGAGGTACCGGGAACTAAACTGAAGAGTAAGTCTCCTGCTTTTTTTTGCTGATGGAAAACCTTAAAGCTGAATGGCTGCAAGTGGTGCTCCATCAGGTAAAGGACAGGTTGTCATGTGTAAGGAGGTGCCATGGCTCTGCTGGTGTTTATCGAGCAAGGGATCTCTTGTTCTGCACCATCTTACAGCTTTCTCTGTGCTGGTCAAACTTATCCTCATATATAAGTGAATCAGGAACATCCTTGTTAATAACATTTAATGTATAACTTTCCTACTGTGAGAATTTTAAAAAAAAGCTTTATGAAAATAAGAAAACATGGCTTCAGAAATATTTATTTTGTTGTATGATGTTTGAAGCATTTTCCCCTTCCCTTTGGGAAATAAAATGAGCGAAAACAAATATTTGGAAGTATGCAAATAAGCTTACATTCGTAATCAAACATGACATTAACGTGTTGCTTTAGGCCAGTTTTAAGAGCCGAATCTGACCATTTCAGTTCAACAAATTGGTAACAGACAGAAAACCCCTTTCTTTCAAAGTTTGAGCACTGAATCCAGTATCACCTTTTTGATGGTAGCTGACCAATTAAACATATCTCATCATAACCTCATAGAGGAAGTTGTCTACAAAGAGGATGAGTCAAACTCATCAAGTTGCCTTATGAATTCTTCTTTTTTGTTTTTAGAATAACTCTGTCTTACAAGATGATGAACTGCCAGTCTCATAGGAAGAGAAAAGCAGACACTTCTTTTCTGGATAGATTAAAGTCTCTAGAGGATGGTGAAAGCAAAGCAAATCAAGTACATCATCTTTCATATTCACATCAACCCATCTATTGTGGAAAACATCAGAAGTCAGCGTTTTCTCACTCAGCTGAAATATTATTTCTGTTCTATTTCTAGACCAAAGAGACAAATATTGGAGAAGTGAACACATTTAATAATCATCCAAAGGAAAGAGAAAAAGCACCAAAAAAACCAGAGCACAAAATCCCACTGTATGTCATCCAGTGCTACTGCATCCAGAGAGGGACTCCGGCAAGAGCAAATGCTAGTTCCTGGGAGCTGGGAAGATATGATGTTCCACAAGTAGCTGTCTCCTTGTCTCTCTTTCTCTCAAGAATTTTTGTTTGGTTGTTTTTTTCTACTTCTTTTGTGAGAACATGGCAGCGGAGAAGGACTAAACAGACGACTCCAGGAACTGGGTGCAAGCAGGTCAACTTATATTGTTTTCATGCTATTTAATGAAAAACAGACCAGCTGCCAGATAAACACAGGTGAGAAAGGGGGTAGGTGACACGCTGCCTGTGCTGGCAGGTGAGTAATGACTGCCGGTGTGTGATCCTGTGGTCTGAAGACTTTCCCAGAACAGGCTTTTCTTTGGTGGACCACAAGCCCTTTTCTGAAGTTGAACGCTGGGGGACCAGAGCACACTCTGTGACTACAGCACGTGTTCAAAGCAGCATGCACAGCTGAAATGAGGTGCAAAATGTTTATGCTTAGTCATTAGGTCTTTGCTAGTACCCAGCGATGATTTAACAGCTCCTGGGTAAACACTGGTACTTCAAAGAATGTTTGTGCTAATTTGGCTTTGGAAATGAGAAGACAGGTAAGTTGCATGACCTCCGCTGAGGCATCTTTTGATATCCTGCATTAATACTGGGGTTTGATGATTGTTCATTTTTCCATCTCAAAGGGAATCCTCAGTAATGCCTTATTCTGCCTGCCTGCAGGCTCAGTTTCTCACTTGTGCAGGTGAAGTATTCATTGCATACATTAGGGAACAAAGCTGAGCCACTTTTTGTAACGCCACAAGTGGGACAGAGTAAAATGTAGAAGAGGAATCAGTCGTGTATTCACAGGTATTAGATGTGCTTGAAATGCGAGCATGACTTTCAAGAAGTTTAAGTTAATATTCCTAAAATTACTCCAATGTCTTTTCTGTGCAAATCCGTGTTTATTGGTGGTATACTGCTGTATGTGCCTACAGTGCAAAGTACCTATAGATAAGGATCTACAAGTCCCAGACTTCTGGGTCATCTGTAGTCATCAATGGTGATGTCTCAATAAGCTTTCTGGCTTTTTATGTCATTAGCATATAGTGAAATACTGTTTGGAAAGTATGCAAAGATTTCTCTTTGTGGCATGCCAGCTGGTAAACCAGGCACAGCGTAGCCACTGCAATGCACCCATCCTATGCATATATGGTGAATCATTGCCTATTTTTCCTGCTAATGACTCAGCTGCTCAAGATGTGGGAGTGACCACTTGTTGTGGTTTTGACCTGCTAAGTGGTATCTGGCAAAAGCCGTGCTTGTGCAATGTATCTGGCAAAAGTGGGCTTGCTGATGTCAGAAGGTCAGAGAAGTAGCTGGATGGCCCAGAGCCAATGCCTCATCAGCATGACCACAGATGAAGTGTTGTTATTTGCATACTGATGCGAGTGTGATGAGGACTCACAACAAAGAGGACTGCGAACCTGGTGATTATATTCTGTTGCAAGAGCCTGTGCAGGTGGTCGATTATGGCTGCTGTGTTCCTTTGACACCTTTTTGTGGCCATTTTCCTGTACAAAGCACAGAGTTATGTAAGCTGCGCCAGTCATTCAGTTTGGTACATCTTGTTGCAGATGAAACTGAGGTACCATGGGAAACTGGGATGTGCTTTTCCCATCAGAACTGTTCCTCGTCCAGCTTCTCAGCTTCTGCAACTGCCTGTCTGAGGAGGTGGCTCTTCTTCCTATGCAAGCTCTGTCCCTTTCTCCATCAAAGGTAAATGGAGGTGTGGATGAGCTGTTGATTGACCATTTAATGCTCTCAGACAGATTTAAGCGGACAGATCTTTCTGCAGCATTGTGCACCAAGAGTTGCATTTCCAAAAACACTGCAGCTTTTCATCTCTTCACGTTCATTCACTTGCTTAGTCATGCTTATCCTCACACTGACTTGTCAGTAGTTGTTAAAAGTGTGGTTTTCCCACATACTTTTGTACTGAAACTTGGTCCCTGCTGCAAATCAAACAGCTTAGATCAATCAAAAAGTTTTCAGGAAGTTTACAGCTTCAGTGACTGTGCCCCTGTTAAATAAATGTTAAATGTGTTAATAAAACACTATTTAATGTGCTTACATCCACAACAATCTTTGGTGGCATACCTGTCATCAGGTATAGTGGTAGGTATACCCATAAATAGATGACATTAGGTTATAAAGATTGTTTTCTGTATGGAGTTTCAAAATTCAGATTAACTAATTGCTACCTATGGAAAGATTTTCAAAGTAAGGAGTAGCTACATAAGAAAAACAAGAGAGGTGCTCAATAAGATGTGTTTAGAAGGTTCATGTCAGAACAGAAGAAGGATTTTAGAAATGGAAAATCTTTCATTAGGTCCATTAATGTTATAATTCCACCAAGCTTTGCATTAAAGAGATGAAAGATGTTACTCTAGAAATCAAGATCGAAGAAAATTGTCGGTAAACATGGCATACATAAGTACTTTATGTTCTGATAAGAGAATGTCTAATTTTATTTTTTAGTCAGTAAAGGTCAGAGTTCACATCTCAGCGCCCTCGTGCTTGGAAATCCACCACAGGACTTCAGCAATCTGGATTCCGTGAAACATTTCCCTTCTGTGCTTTGCTTGGGACATCCTACCTGGCCTCAGGGAAGTCATTTAGTTTCTCTGTGCCTCAGTTCCTCTTCTGTAAAACGGAGGTAGCATTTCCACTCTTCTTCAGGGCATTATAAAAAAACACCCCATTACCCTAAAGCCTGAGAAATGCAGACAGTCCAGTGGTAGGATCTCAGATAAAGTGCAGTTTTTGTTTCAATCTTGTAAAAATCTGCATAAAACTTGCAGAAATGTAGAGATGTATGCTCACAAATACAAATGGGGTCTGTTTCAGAAATACAAAACAGTCACACTGATATTATCTTTGGTATTATGATGATTCAGAGCATTATACTGACACCAACAACACCTAATCAGGATCAGGAGAAAGTAAGTCCCAGCCTCTGTGCAAAGACCGAGAAGTCAAGGCGAACAAACCATAACAAAGCAAGAATACGCAAGTCAAATATGCCCTTCCTCTCCTTCACCTCCCTCGCTGCTTTCCCTGCGGGGTGCCACAGTGCTTGCCGGAGAGCAGCTGCCCTCCACCCTGCTGCGGCTCTTCGGTGGAGAACCTGCACTGCAAGTTTCAGCTCAAAACAAACATTCATGGCTGAGTTATGAACCCCCAGAGGGATAGATGGTGAGGTGGATTAAAGCACTAACTCTTTGCCTTTGGCTTGAAGCCACATTAGGACAAAAGTTAGAGTGAGTTTCAGAGTTAACTTTTATTTGTCAGTATGGCTTGGGTTTGAACACGGCAAAAAAGACCAGGAATGAAATGACATTGGTTGAGACGCATTGGTGAGGTTTCAGGAGGAGCCTAAACAGTGCTCCAGCCAGTCTGACCTAGTTACTGATGACAAGTTTTGACATTTCAGGAAATGTTTCAACTTCGGAAATAAAAACCAACACCCATGGACAGCCCTCTGGAGCAAGGGCCTGTGGGAGGAGGAGACGCCCAGCATTGGTAGTGCTTGGGAAGCTACCCTGGTTGGGGAAGAGGCTTCCAGGGAAATGCTTGCAGTCATCCTACACCATCCTATATGTGGCAGTGGCATGAGAATGTCTAGGGGCAACTTTTGCCTTTTCTTTCAGTGGCTGGGCTGTGTCCAAAGAGTGGCTCTTTGCTGTACTGTGCCTGCAGGATAGTGATTCCTCAGGGTCTTCAGTTCCCCCATGAGCTGCTTTGCAGCCATGCTCTGGTGCTGAGCTATGTCTCTTGCACCTCATGGACCCTGTGGAAAATGCCTAGAAAAGCCCGTGTTCTGGAAGTAAGGTTTTAGGGTTTTTTCCCCTGTGTGCTTGAGTTCTTCCTTTGGATGGACAAAACCTTAACTGTGGATCTAGAGATGCATGGAAGGCTTCTGCTCTCCTCACATTCCCCTTAGGGAAGAAGGAGCAGTGCTGCAAACCTTTTGCTCAAATCATCCAGGCATACTAAGGCTGAATAACAGAAGGTTGTTTTTGTTAAAATAAGAGGCAGATCCTCCAGAAGTGTGTATATACACATCAGTGTTTGCTCTTCCTCTCCCAAATCAACAGCTGTCTGAGAGTTTTATTTCATTTGCTGTTTGTAAGGTGGGAAACAGAGGAATAAAAGCATTAAGAAAGTCGTACCTAAATAACAATATTTCCCTCAGGATAAAGAAAACTGTTTTCAGTGTATGGAAGTCATCATATTTGAGGATGTTTATAGCCATTCAGTCATGCAAGGAACCCTGGGCTCCTGTGGAGGCTCTCAAGCCCTTGGCTTGGGGTGTGGGAGGGGATGGGAAGGAATGTATCTAGGCAGGGAGGAGGAGTGGCTGAAAAGGGCATGAGGCAATGAGACCTGGAGAGAGACCCAGGGAAGGAGGCTTTCTCTAAATAATGCTTGTCTAGAGGGATTTTTCAATTTTTCTAATATTCTAAGCCACAGGACAGGATGCACAGGTACCCATGCTGGATGGTAAGGGTGCTGTAATTGTCCTGCACTGGACCAATGTTTACTGTCCTTTGGCAGTCATCCTGCAGCATCCCTGGTCCTTCAGATTCAGTGGCAGCTGAAATGCTTCCTTTCAGGGAGCAATGTAGGACAAGTATTCAGTGGTGCTTTCTAGAGCCAAAGTAGCTTCTTCCAAATCAAAGAAGTCTCTTGCTATATAAAAATATGCTACACCTTTGAAAGGAGCTGTTTGAATGGAGGGTTGTGACTCAGAATACTTAGAAAGGGTTTTTACCCCTCTGATCAGGAACGCTCTCAAATTCAGGTTGAGAAGGAAATAGGAGGATGGTGACTGTTTTCACTGATCTCTGTCAGAGCATTGAGGCTCCTGATGGATAAACAGCTGTCTGATGACTTGAAAAGCTTTGAATAAAGCACTGTGACCTCTTGTTTCTTAAACTGAAAAGAAAGCCAGTGGGAAGAAAAGGGAGCTGGGATTGAAATTATTTTCCATCCATTCTCTTCCTCATACAGCTGCAGAGGCTGCACTAAGGTGTGTGTCTTCTGCACTCTCTAAATTTTTGCCTTTTTTCTTCTTCCAATCCTTCTCTTGCTCCTTTAGAGCAACATTATGGCCACTATTTCTCACTGATGGTGAGAATACTACTTGATCGACCAGAGAGGAGAAACATGAAAGAAAGGACATACCACCTTGGTGGTTTTTTTTCTTTTCTTAATGTAAGTAGTCAGCTCACTCCTAACTTCAGTTAGGCTTCTGGAAACATGTAACTGATGTTAAGTTAGAGGCTAACAAAAATCTCACACTTATACTGGTTCTTGTGCCATGTTAACTAGTCTTGCAGGTGTATATGGAATTGCAAGAAATGCTCTGCCAGATGCCACTGAGTCAAAAAATAGCTAACCTTAATCCTACCTGCACCCATAGTCATACGTACATGCCCTGAGAGATTAGTGCTGGTAGGCATTTCTACAGGATGCATTTCTAACTGAACTGAACACCTGAAAACATGCTAGCTAGAGCTTCTGCCAATCACCCAAATTAGTACACAAATTGGGTAAGAATTATTCGCAGTGCTGATAAATACCAAGTGATTAGAGCAAATATGTTGCAGTACATACATGTTGCAAGTAGAAAGATAAAGAGAAGTGCATCAAAAAGTTATAATTTAAGTTTTGTTTGTATAGGCTTGCTTGTTTTTTGAGGACTGGCAAAAAGCAAACTGTGTAGTACATCAGTATAATAAGCTATTGCTATATGCCTCAGGACCACCGAAAGGAAAGCTAATGAGCTGCATTGCATTTGTTCTTTAAGTTCTTAAAATGCATCATGAATAAATGTGTCTGCAGGTTCATCTAGATTTATGTCACTGTATTTCCTTGTGGTATCCTCTGCAGAGAACTGAAACTGTAGGAAGGAGAAAAGTAGGTATAGTTATTTTTAACAGTTCATAAACACCATGAAATTAATTTTTTCCTAATGTGAGAAAAACAAAACCAAAAAAGGCGTGTAGGTCTGTAGATTTATATCAGAAAC